TTCATCTGAAAAAATAGAAAATATTAAGAATTAAAATCCTAAATCTATCAGGGGTTTGGAATTCTTTTTAACACAAGGTAGTAAAGGAAAGAGAAGAAAGGACTAAACATCAGTTGTAAGAAGATATAATGCATAATTGTCACAAAAAAAAAGAAGAAAAAATCAGCCCACCATAATCAATCAATAATATCTAGAAAGTCAGAGGACGGAAATGCGTCACTGAAAACTGTAGGCGTATTAAGATAGTGAAAAATGCATTCCAAAAAACGAAGGATAATATTAAACAAAAGAAACATTCGTTGGAAACAACGACATAGTCCTGGGTATGACGATAAACTACAACCGGCAGCAATTGCTGTTGTTCCCAGGTACACCCTGACATGGGGTAGCAGCACCTGTTAAGGTCCCAGCTATGGGCAGATAGTGAACCCCCCACCAAACAAAAACAAAACACTATGAAAGTATAAAAATGTATTTTTATAGTAAAAATACCAACATTACATTTTTCTATGAAAAAAGAAAATTAACACTACCTATTTATAGTAAAATAAACTGTTATGGGGTCCACCCCTTTTTCATACATGTGGAATCGACCAGTGTGTATTTGTACTGCTGCCGGTGAATACCCGAGAGGTAGAGTAATAGAGAGAGTAAGAGTGTGACGTAACCGCTTTGTAGGAGTCACAGTTGCAAGAACGTAGACCCAGAAGGAAGTCATACTTCGATACTGAATTTCCCAGACTGTATATATATTATTATTACTACTAACCGCATTTCTGGATCTACTAACCGTATTACCAATTGTATTATTGCGTCAATACATTTATTTGCTATATTTCATTCCTGCGTTTGTCATTCATTTGAGACCGGATTTCATCTCGGAATCCACAACATAAACAATAATACATTTTATCTGTAGTTTAAGCCATACAACTGCGTACAAAAATTTTTGTATTTCGGTATTAAATAACCCATATATGTTGATATGACACTAACCAAACAATCAACATAAAAGAACTATTTCATGACATCTTACTTATAAAACGCAAATTGTGTGTGTGTGTGTGTCTGTAACGTTTATATATTGGATCGGATTTCCTACATTTTTCAACCGATTTCAACAAAACTTCACAGGACTACATAAAATTACCTTGTGGTGGTTCTAACAGCGCCAAAAATGGGAAAAATATAATTGTTTTTGCACAAAATCAATTTGAAAACCCGATTAAGAGACATCGGGAAAATGGAAGGGGGACAACTCACATCGGGTTGTTTGTGTGAGTGGGTTCCTTTAAATATGGGAGCGGATTTCCTATATTTTTCAGCCGATAAAACAAAACTTCACTTTTTTTTTTGGCAGGTAGTGTTTCTTATTCTCTTGCACACTTTTTTCTTTATTTTTAACATTCAGAATGCTTTTAAAATTCCATTTACAAGACAATTATTTATAATAAAATTCTATTCAATCGGTAGACTCATAACGATTGAAAACAATGTTTTTGTTTGAGTTTGGGTTTGACCAATTCGTAAAAAAAAAAAAATTAAAAAAAAAAAACTAATTAAGACATGCGTGTCCGTCAACCTGAAACAATAATCTTTGTCAATTTTATTTTTCAGTCTTTATGATGGTGGATACTTGATCTATCTCTTACTGTTATATCCCCGGGCAACGCCGGGCTCTACTGCTAGTTAATCCATATAATTTCCTACAATTTTTTAAATCAAACTGTATTCCAAAATATAACTTCAACAAAACTACAACATAAAACACACCTCCGCCTCTAGTAATTATGTCTGCACAAAATCTGAGTACAAAAGTTGAGTATCATCTACCATGTATTCAATTGTGAAAGCAGAATGACATGTTTTTATTACTTCAAAACTCCCAAGAAAATTAAATTTCGGCATTAAATGACCCATAAGGTGTTGATATGCCGTTAAAAAAAACAAAAAAAAAACAAGCAGAAACAAAGACAAATACTTAAATGTTGTGCTATGTCGATCCTCTTATATAGCAGTGGGTCGTTTTCTACTGATTCCCAGGTTGAATATATTAGGGCAATTATTTATATACATCAGAATTCAAAATGGACACGCCCTCCGATTCTATCGGCCTTTACTCCTTACTTCACAGTGTCTATCACTTTCGCGTCATAAGTCATTAAACTTTCTCCTTTCCCCCTTTCAAATTTATTGTCTTTCTTTTTTTCTGTCACTCTCAGTTTCTTTTCTTTCTCTCAATATTCTCTCTTCATCCTCATCTCAACTCTTTTGATTGGTTCATTTTTGCCTTTCTCACATTCAGTTCCACAAACACGCATTCTTTAGTTTTTCCTTTCACTTCCACATTTTCTTTCTTTGTTTCGTTCTTTCTTTGAAAGCTCACATTTTTCTTGCTTTTTTTTTTCTTCGTTGAATCCTTATATATTTTCCCATCCTTCTCTTTACTCGTGTAATTCTATAGTTCTGCAATATATTTTAAAATCCCGTTCACTGAATCTAATATTGACGCCATCAAAAAGATCAATATATTAATATATACGCACAGTTTTTTTCTCCTCTGAATATAAAAGCCAATATTTGGCCGTCCATTCATTTCAGGACTCTATTCCATATAATAGATTTTAGATAACCACAAAATACTTAAATAAAACAGCAAAATAATAAATTCGTTTTATGTGAAGATAGAAATTATACAAATGAATACAGCAAATAGGCATAGAAAAACTGAAAATGTCGTCATAACTGGGTGGAAGTGTAATGAACTGAAAACTGTACATACGACTAGAATTTGGCCATACAAAAGATATACAATTGTATATGCAAAAACGAAAATCTTTCTTAGAGAATTAAATACAATTCTCCATGGTTTTGATAAACATTACTCAGTCGTAACTGATCTAGAGAAAAGTGTAGCTTTGATGTGGCACAAGGCTGAAAGCATAGAGCACCCAGTGGAGATCGTAGTCACTACTCAGTCGTAACTGATCTAGAGAAAAGTGTAGCTTTGATGTGGCACAAGGCTGAAAGCATAGAGCACCCAGTGGGGATCGTAGTCACTACTCAGTCGTAACTGATCTAGAGAAACAAGCTTGCGTAGAAGTGACCTATTGTTTTCTTCGTGCATTTTTTAAATTTAATTTTAAAAAAGAATTCCGTCTATCCAAATGTGCTTTCAACTGACCAAAATCACTGACATTTTTTGAAAGCTTAAATTTTATTAACTTTCCTATATTACTTCATGGATTTTTGCCTATTTTTCCCCGTAAATCTGAATATTTCTTTCCAGTTCTCAATATATCTTAGCCGTATTTTTGTTAATTTTTTTTATCTAAGCCCCTACAAATTTGACCTGATGTTGAAATGGATTTTATAAAATAGAGAAATTATATTTTCTATTTTTCAGTAAGCAAGTTGCCAACGCAAAGATAATTTGACCTCCTATAATAAACCCACGGTAAATGCATAAATTTTCTTTGTCCCCTAATCCATCTGGATTTTTCCTTCTCCCCTAATCCATATGGATTTTACCTTCTCCCCTACTCCATCTGGATTTTTCCTTCTCCCCTAATCCATCTGGATTTTTCCTTCTCCCCTAATCCACCTGGATTTTTCCTTGTCCCCTACTCCATCTGGATCTTTCCTAGTCCCCTAATCCATCTGGATCTTTCCTTGTCCCCTAATCCACCTGGATCTTTCCTTGTCCCCTACTCCACCTGGATTTTTCCTTCTCCCCTAATCCATATGGATATTTCCTTGTCCCCTACCCCATCTGGATTTTTCCTTCTCCCGTAATCCACCTGAATTTTTCCTTCTCCCCTACTTTATTTAGATTAGAGTCCCTTGGATTTAAAAATAGAAAATTACACCCATTGGGTTTTTTCAGTTTTCTCAATCCCTTAGATTGCAGCAAAACTTTAACAAAGTTAAAACTTTATATATATATTCCTCGAGTTTTTCGTTTTTCTTTCTATATTTCAAATAGTTATTTGCAAATGCTAGCTCTAGTTCATGTAATTTTGTTCTTACGGTAATATTTAACGCAATGGGAGTAATGAATGCTGATGCTCTACGAGCATATATATATATATATATATATATATAATGCGATAGTACATGGATGACTTTACAAACAAACCCCAGTGAAACCAACACGTGCATCTTTCGTATATAAGCCCGTATAAATTCTTTGGAGGTCGCCGACCGAGAAACGATTGTTAGCTGACAGATCAATTCGTTTGTGAGATGCGGTCAGTCCTTACCTTATACTTGGAGTTATTTGTAAGAATGAACACAGGGGAAATTATATAAAATACTTGTGTGCGTTAAATGCAAAACGTGATACATGTCCACAATTGGTACAAAGGCACCTGAACATTCTGCTCTCAATTCCATCCTCCATACTTATATGGGAAAGGATGTTCGTCAATATGCAAATTAAAAAAAACCAATACCAAGTACGTCTTCATGTGACCCCAGATTTGCACCGTCAAAAACAAGTCCGGATTTAGTTCTAAAAAAAATCATATCTAAGCTTTCACATTAGTTTTACCGCTAATTAGTTTTAATTAGTTTTAATTAGTTTTCCAACTTCTAATTGTTGCTGTCATTAAATAATATATACTATTGCATACATTAGTACATTCAGAGGGCACATCGACGTGGTGTAATCGTTAACATGCTTGTCTCGCTAGGTCAATTATGATTGGGTAGTGAGTTCGATCCTCACTGGGCACTCCATACTTTCGGCCTTGTGAATAAAATCACCATTAGTTAATTCAGTGCGGTGAATTCATTTCTTACCTTTCATTCCTTATTATAAAGAAAGAAGGCTTAGAAAATTTGACACTCACAGGATAGTCAAAAAGGATAGCGGAAATGCGAATAATCAATCTAAAGAGATTATGCAAATGGACAGTAGAACCAGAAATGGTCGAGATATTAAGAAGATAATCCTTACTATAAAGGCTTCTATTAAGAAGATAATCCTTACTATAAAGGCCATTTCACATTGAAACATCGGTTCCTGTACGATCACCGAAGTTAAGTAACGCCGAACCTGGTGAATACTTAAATGGGTGACCGCTTAGGAATACCAGTTGTTGTGCAATTGATAATGGCCCGGAATTGTTAATCGCAGAGCTCCAATTCGCGTTGGTTTCGTTATATTCACTTACGTGCAAATACCCTTTGGAACGGTATGAATCCACCACTTCTTCCCCAGCTATGTGTTAATTAATAAGACTTGTATCATTAAATCATTATCTCGAGAAAAAAAAATCTTACAATTTGAAATTTTTTCTGTCTTTAAATAACCTTGTTGATAAATGTTGAAGGGTTCTCCCCTTTTTACACAAATGGACTCACCCAGAGTATACATATACTACGGCTACGTGAAGACCCGGGGGAAAGAACGAGAAAGAAGGACGAACGAGCACGAACCAGAACGAACGCAACGAGCAAGAGTCGCAGTGAGCATGCGCGTAGACTCAGTAAGAAGTCATACAGTGATACGTCGATACCAAAGTCTGTATATATATTTTGCTACTAACCCGCATTCCTGGAACTACTAACCTGCATTACCAGTTTATATTATTACATTAATACATTTATTTTCCTATATTCCTTCTTGGCGTTTGTTATTTATTGATACCGGATTTCATCCCAGAATCCACAACAATAAACCGTAAAAGAAATCGAAACAATTAAAATATTGAGCTACAAACGAAGGAAGTTGGAGAATCATAATCGTTTATGTTCGGAAGAAGAGGCGCGGTACCTATAAAATTAATTAAGAATTGAATAGATCTATGAGTAATCAGCTGCACAGATAATATTAAGTTTAGTTTAATGGAATAAATAAAAAAAAAATTAGAGAGACGCTGGGTAGGGTAAATGTCTATATCCCAACAGCATTTATAGTAAATGTTTGAGTCGGTATAAACATTGAGGTTTCGGGAGATATATGTATGGGTATGCAGAGGCTCCTCACCTGAGAAAATGTTGAATGACGATCTTTGTAAAAATTTCCTTTTACTCTATTTAGTCTTGTACAGAACAGAAATGAATCTTTGGTAAATATCCATATATGGTTATTATTGTGCCTTGGTAAAAGATACTAATGAAGCAGAGCGGTGTTCACATGGGGTAAATTAGTGTATATGAAAGAAAATTAATTGCTGAGATCAGAGAACTTGCAGATGAAACAGATGAAAAAGTAATTTCACAGGAACGCATGCTGCCAGTGATCTCAGGTTACACATTAAATGCATATTCCGAGCCTCAAAGACGGGAACTGCTGAAAAGATGGGGAAGGTAGAAAGATAGATGAAATACTTATCTCTATGTAATGTTACATGTGTAGTTTTATTAAGCAAAATAAGAAGATACAAACAGATTGTGTCAGATAAAATTAATTGCGCTCGACAGATATGAACTGACTTAAATAGGTAGATAGCTACATAATAACTCAGATATTTAATCCTATATATTACCCCATTTGAGACGTGAAACAGACAGTCACTATGAAGTGTACATTCCTATAGCCATTTTATATACGCATATATACAGTGTGTCTCAAAGAAATGTATATACATATTTACCGTGTATAGCTGAAGTCAACTTGCTTTCCTTTCAGATTAACACGTTAGTATTACTGTGAGATTATAGCGGGTCATTGGTGGAAGTTGACAGGAAGGTGACATTATCGCGACTCTGCTGGTTTGGAATTAGGATTAAAAGGGTTCATGCGAAAACTCTGCATATAATTTGAGCATTGGAATGGTTGAAAACATTACACAAGAAAGTTAAAGTGAGAAAACAGGAATTGAAATATGAAGCGAGGAAAAAAACCTTTTTTTTTCTTTCTGATAAACAGAAACGCACATAAGAATTGTTATAAGTACCCCAAAAAGGCCGGAATGTAACAGTAGAAACATTTGAAGTAAATAATTTGACTGTTGGTATTTGAAGGCCATTGTCGATCGAGGACCGAATTTAAGTAAAACCAAAAATGTAAACAATGGAATTTGAAATTGGGTCGAATATCGGAAATCGACAAAGAGAATTCACAGAAATTAGACAAACAAAATGAAAATCCTTAGAAATAATTTTTTAAAAGTGCTGACGTGAAAAATTGTTTGATAACACGACCGATAGTCGGGAAATATGGAAACAAAGTTTGGAAATACCAGGCCGCTTCGTTTAGGGTCGATGTCATGCCTCCAGGGTTGGAGAAAATAATTAATTGAGGAATACGTAATGAGATTTGAGAGATAGTGAGAATTGGGCAAGATGCATATCGGGTGTCTTAGTAGTAGTGTTTTTTATAAGAATTTTTTATGTACTGCGGATCGATAGTTTTTAATAAACATAAAACATTAGGCAGCATATGATTTACATACAAAGAATAATCACACATAGAATTAATCAGAAGTATTAATGCGATTATTGGCAACATCCGTCGCTAGAAAACATAATATATGCATTAAAATCCTGTTCATCCATAGTGCGAGTTTTCCTAAGACATTACACTATATTATTGAACTATATACTTAGTTCATGACATAAAAACTAATACACTTGTAAAATAGAATATGTGGATTTAACACATCACAAGAAATATTTAAATAAAATTCTCACTTAAAAAATTTTGAAAACTTAGCGTTGCGTCTTTGCGCGTTCCACGATCTTACACACCCGTCAACAATAGCAGATATTCAAAAAACATCTTTCGGTCGACATACAGATATATCGTCTCAAGTTTTTGATTTTATAAAAAAAACACATGCCTGATGATGGATGGAAGACCGTCCGTAAGTACTAGCATTTTAACATCAAATAAACTGAAAAACTACAGACAACAAGTTTTTCTTCAAGGATCAAAACTCGCACTCTGGATGAACAGGATTTTAATGCATATATTATGTTTTCTAGCGACGGATGTCGCCAATAATCGCATTAATACTTCTGATTAATTCTATGTGTGATTATTCTTTGTATGTAAATCATATGCTGCCTAATGTTTTATATATATATATATATATAAGAGAGAGAGAAGGAATTTATAAATTATCTGTACAACTACTCCATTTTCTTTTGTATTCATTACAGTTAAGATCCTTTAATATACTTTTTTGCATGTTAAAGAAATTTTATTCAGGTTTTAATTTATATAGAGTTTGTTCTGTTTTTAATTCCTTTTCTTTTGTCTATCGAGGTAGATGTTAAAAGTGCTTATTGATTACTGACTTTTAATGAAAACGAAGACACAACAAATAATGTATGGACATCTTGAGTTGGCATATATATATATATATATATATATATATATATATATATATATATAGAGAGAGAGAGAGAGAGAGAGAGAGAGTGAGAGAGAGAGAGAGAGAGTGAGTTTGTTTGACGATCTCCAATAGCCTGAAACCCTGGGTCACAAACTCATATCAATCCAACTATATATATATATATATATATATATATATATATATATATATGTGTGTGTGTGTGTGTGTGTGTGTGTGTGTGTGTGTAGTTACATCCTTACGCAGCCAAAGCCCTAACCATGCACATACACTTAGCGAACTATCTCTTTCCCCCTCTATGTAATATGTTACATTAACTCACTCTCTCTCTATTTCAATCTGTCATAGTAGACGCCGACTACACAACATTTGGGTCAGACAGGCTGATGGCCTTGGAAACAGTTTCGGACGAAAGCTAAAAATAGCTCCTCACACACGTGCAGAATCACGTGATCAAGTACGAAAAGTTGAGCGGGAAAATATCGGAAGGAATTAGTTGGACAACTGATCTTAGGCCAGTATCACCTTTTTTTCACTTGTTACCGTCGAGCAAAGGAAATCGCGCAATGAAATCCAGTTCCAACTCAGCTCACTCTCCTGCATATATCAAATGCACGGGTGAATTATTAAACGTGATAATCACCTAAGACAGGCATGTGTAACTCAACCAATTATTCAATTGGAGAAAAGCTATGACTGATACAGCACCGAAACCTTCCTAACCGAATAATGCATTCTACGTTGCTGAATATGTGAAGAAAAGAAACGACCATCTCTTGGAGTCAAAACATATAACAGTGAAGAAATAATAGCAGACCAAAAGATATCGTTGCAGGAGCAGAAAGAATTGGACTGAAAGTCAAGAGAACAAGAAAAATTTTCCCTTTTCAGTGGATTTGATAAAGATCAGTATTTGTTCCTTCACAAAAAAAGAAGCGAGTGGTAAATTACCACCATCTTAAGGTGAAGACCGCCTTTGCAGCAGTTATTCTTCATTTAGTTTTTCTTGCTCCACAATATTCTAAACTATTTACTTTTCATGGTATGTCAAATTTTCTTTCATGTACAGAATATTTTCGTTACGTGTAATCGTAGAGGAAAATAAGTCTAGTATTAATCTGGATATATGTTTTGCTATCTCTCAACTGCGGAGCATAATTCACCAGAAATATTTAGTAGAAAACTTCGTAAACAACCTTTGACATGTTTAATCCTCATTAACTTTTTCATAAAGTGTACAAATGTTTTTGCATTTGAATTACGTTTTTAACTTATTATAAAGCAGATTAAAAGCTGTGCGAACTTTTAAACAAGATCTAGCAGAGGGCTGATTGGGCATCCGATCCAAAACTAAAGGGACCTCTGGTCTAGCATAGAAAACAGCAATGATCATTTTGAAGAAATAATTTTGAAGAAATAATTTTGAATTTCTCAATTCACTCCATGGAACTTCAAAACCTCACTTTAACTCTAATTCGAGCTATAAGTCCAATTCCGGTCAAAAGACAGATTTGGGCCGAAATTCCAATTCAGGTTGAAAATTGAATTCTTCAAATCACAAACTCTGCGAAACCTCTCATTCTAATTCTGATTTTGAAGAAATAAAATTGATTTCTTCAATTCACAAAGTTTTGGAGATATTTTAAAATGAATTTATAACATTTTTAATTCATAAATATAAATTAAAAACTTTTAAAATCATTATATTTTCCATATTTTATTTTAAAATTTAACTGTTCTCTCCTCACCCGGACACAAATCGCAATGCTGGATGTTCAATCACCAAATGAAGGACAGATT